ATCTCAGTGGGATTATCATGGTCTGGATACATGATTTCATTTTACTGGAGCTTTATATTGAAGCACCAACATTGTCTTACTATGGGATGAATGTAGATTATCTTATCAGCAACTAAAGACAGTAAGTATTTTCCAAAAATTAAGAATTTCAAAATATTGGAGGAGAATATCTACAGGAAGCTGTGAGGGTGACCATGGGATCTTAAAAAAGATCACTCTTAGCACAGTTTGAAAACAAACTGACATTCACTTTAAAGCATATGGTGGTCATACACTGTACAATCAAGTTTCTCAGACTGTAGTATAGACAGTACTGTAGACATGAAATCAAGTAATATTGTTTAAATGTAATTGTGAGGAATGCAACACTAATACTTGTAGTCATGCATTTATGAAAACAAATTATTCTGGTCAACGTATAGCTACGTCATTTATAAATACTTCAAATGTCACATAAAAATGTGGGTTCAAACATGTGGAGGAGCTGACAGGCAGAGGAGGCTCAGTCTCTCTTGGGGGTATGGGCAAAGCCTTAGAAGATGGTCAACTGATGTCAAAGCTCTGGAGGAGCAGGCTGTAATAAGTGCCTCATTATATATCAGCTCTATGGGACGTATCTCAAAATACATTGACAGAAGAAAGCAGAGAATCACAACCCACTGTGCACAAAATGTCTGGACGACACACACGGTGAAGGATAAAATTGACTAAACTCAAAGAGGAACTTGAATTGTGATTCTGTCTCCCACAGAGTGCCTTACCTTCGATTGATGTGATGTCTCAGTTAAGCATCATGTGATCCACAAAATCCACTGTCAAAGAGAAGTGGAGAGGGAGGCAGATCTTCACTGTGGTTAAATATTCACAGTAGGATGTCGCTAATGCAATCACACACGATCGGTGCCCTTTGGCAGGAAGCGCCCGGCGAGGGTCCTGTCTCAGGCCCTCATCAAGATTAAAGGAAAATGAGAAAATGAGATCCACAAAATCAAACATGCATTATAATAAGAATGGGAACTGTACGCTGCAGGAGTAGAGACATGGTGTGATGACATCCAGTATTTAAAAACAGATATCTGCTATGTTAATATCGAGATGCTGTCAGTATAATACTGAGCTAAATATGATTGTGTTATCTGTCTTGTTATGGTGACAAACACGATGTGTGAGAACAATGAACTGTGTTTGTGTTCCACTACACATGGTGTTCTCATTATGGCTAAAATGTTCAACTTTACTTTCCTCCGACCAGAGCCTTCTTCCACATGTTGGATGTGAACCTTATTGCCTTCATTTGCCACTCTTCCATTTGTACATATTCAGAGTCCTGATGTGAGCTGTGGATCTGCAGCTCATCCAGAGTTACCATGGGCCTATCAGTACAATACTGATAGCTTTTGCTGATCAGTCGTGTACTGATCAGAGAAAAATAAAAAGTTACTTTTCAATTTCATAGACCCCTTTGGACAAATTAATCGATTTTAACCAAAGTTACTGAAGCGTGTCTTTCAAAGCATTGTGCAGACAAAATAAAAAAAACAATGAAAAAAAAAAAAGAATCTTGGTTTGAGGAGAACACCTACAGTGTGAATCCTGCTGTGAGGTCTTGCTTCTGGTTTGGAGTGAGGTGTGGTTGGAGTGAGTTAGACCTGTGAAGACTCAGAGGAGAGTTTTCAGGTAACTTTCTGTGTAATTTAATCTTACTGTGGTCCCTTCATTGGTTCTGAAGTTAGATGTGTCAAACAGCAGCATACAGTATATCTCCAATGTAACCTCAGCTTTTTTATAACTTTATACAGCAGCAGGTCTAATCGCCTACTGGCACTATATGTTCCAACTAAATCATGACTTGTCAAAGAGGGGATTAAGTTTTACTGAAGAGAATAATTCTGCTTCTAGTTTTCATTGATTTATTTCAATTACAGCTTAAATCTCTTTTCATTTCTTCATGATAAAGCTTTCTACTTGCCTATAATTTACCATTTGTACTGAACAGCCAAATGCTCTGTAGAGAATACCTCACATAAAGTTAAATTGCAAAGATTTTATATCTGAAAGTAGAGAACTAGCCTCATGCAGTTCTGCAAAGAGCATTACAGCCTTGTGTGAGGTGGGACGTTTCTCAATGTTGACACATACAGTACCCCTGAAGTCGGAATTTATAAAACCTACAGTACTTTCTGGACTGTTGAACACATCTGTATATAAGCCGCACCAGCAACATTTGAAAAGAAAGTAATTTCTATCTACATAATATAGGCCGCACTTGAATATAAGCCACAGGTTTTTATGTTGTAATATCACAGATGGACTGTTTTTCCTGATCACAACATGATTAAAGGACGAGGTGTTTAACAGCTTAACTGTTAGCTTCCATGCAGGTACTCATTCACCAGTTTGACAATAAAAGAGTGTCCTATAGCTACTAAAACCTGAGTCAAATGTGTGAGTCCATAAACTCTGTACTCTCTTTCTATCCCAATACAAATAAACATATTAGCCGCATTGCTATATAAGCCGTAGGGTTCAAAGAACTAAAAAAAAGTAGCGACTTATAGTCTGTATGGGACTTTCAATGGGCTATACGTTATAAGAACAATGCAAAACAATAATGCGATCTAAGATGCTGGTTGCCTGGGTGATACTGTATATCTTAAGTCATGGTTTTGCTGAAAGTTGAAACAATGAACAAAATGACTTAGGAGTGACTCAAGTGTTGGCAAAGTCCTCACTATGAGCAGCATATTTCTTCATATTGTTCTGGGGCAGATTAGGATGTTGCTTAACCATGGTGTTTATGATTTATTACAGCATGTTAAAGTATATTTCACTTCCATGAATATATAGTGATGCATTCATTTTTATAGAGCATAATATTGGAAAACACAGACTCAGCTCTTTGTTTCTTCTTTATGTTCACAAACCACAGTTAGCTAAAATGGCAATGCTTTTACATATGTAGCATGTAAATTCTTAACCAGAACATAAAAAAACTGATTTATGCCACTGAATATTAACAGCTCTGTCTTTAAACATGATCCATTACAAACCATGATACTGTGTAATGAGGTGGAACATGAACCGCTGTAGTGAGATCATGCCCAATGAATTTTTACATTTGTTGGACTTTTATTAACTTTTCATCACGTTTGACTTTGGCCTAATTACTTGTTGTTGTGCCACTGGACCGTAAACCAGATTACAAGGGGATCAAATTAACCGGCTTTTTACTGTTTTAGTTGGAACCACGTAAACTGTTTAACTATAATTCTGTTGTTACTCAATGTGCCGCTGTAATAGGCCGAGTTAAGCTGCTTCTGTGCTATGCAAATGTGATGTAAAGGCCAAAACGGGACTAAGCAACGAACCATGTCGAGTCACTTTTCAACAAAACTTTGTTTAATTCATCTGAGAAGTAAATTCATTTATCTCAAATAAACAATACAAGTATGACCGATTTCTTTACTGATTGCCTCCTCCACATGTCTTAAAGATACAGAATGGAAGAATCAAACAGAGGATGTTTAAGCATGCTCTTCCAGCATTTGTCACCCTTCTGAAGAGCTGTTGGTGGCCAGGGGACACATGTGGCCTAAGGCATCACTACCTGAGGTCCTTCTTTATAGACAGACACAGAAAGAAAACCAAGTAGTCACTCCTTTATTCAAGTTCTACACTATATTTTTTTTTATCTTCTCAATATAACATTGTTTTGTTTCATCATCACAATATGTTTGTTTGAAGTTATACTTGTAATTGTGGGCATCAAGAGAACAGCGTGGATATTCCACCGCGGGGCACAGATCTGGGGTGGCCTTTGAACAAAGTGCATGGACACTGCCTAACAATGGTGTTGTGTATCCTTGCGTTCTGGTCCATTTATCAGCTGCTGCTTTTCTTACTGAAAAGGGCATTTGTAAGAGTTTGACCTTTGGAACTTGGCTGATGGACTGCCACACACAAGTGCTAACATGATATACACAGTATAACGCTAATGAGAGGTGGCAAAGAGCCAACTTATTGGACATGTCATAACTGTTGACAGGATGGAGTTCATTAAAGACATTTTGCTCATTTATATTCACAAGTAGTACTACTGTCATTCGTGATGTTGCATTGAGCCTGTATTGACAGTTGGCTCTGTAACTGCTCTCTGCTTTTTGCTCTCGTCCGCACTGGTCACACACTGTGGTTTTAAGATAGTGTGCCACTGGCCCAGACATTGCATCGTTTCATGACCTTTACTACCACTGCAGATCTAAGGCAGGTAACAGCCAACAATGAATGCCAATGACTGGCTGCCATACAGGAAGTACCCTTAGGCCATGCTTAGGGTAAAGCCTTTAAATACACAGCAAAAAACCCAAACATTTATTTTAACACTAAACCGTGTATTTATCTATTTCCATGGAACCCATTGGCCACGAGTCTTGAAATTGTCCTGGGTCATTCTTTCATTGTCCAGCCCCCCAAGTTGGGAACTACTCACTTAAAAGATATATACAGTATATTTCAATAACAATGTTTTCTAATAGTTCAGTTATATCTTGGTCCATAGAGGCCAGACCTGTTAGTCCTGCGTGCCAAGAGCACAAATTTACTGCCCATATTATATTTCAGATCATAATAGTTAATGCTCTGTGCAGAGGTGTTTTCCCTTAAAGTCACACATGTGATTTTGGTGTCATTATTTGACCATCAGTTGCCTTTCTAGTGTTATGATTATGTAAATAATGTCTATTGTTTTAATATGAAAACAGGCTTCCGCAACATCAAACCAACACCTGCTTTGCTTTGTGTGAAGTTGCGTAAAGTGGAATATGTGTTTTTTATTTCAAGATAAAGATAAAGATGAAGAATTTTTTTATGTCCCAAAGAAAATGTGTTACTTTGTTACTGCTTCTTTACACATTCGACAGACAGCTCAGTGTGTTTCCTACACTCTTCACACAACCACATGTTGCTGCTGTAAAGTCTGATATTTTTTTATTTTCCTGTAGGTGTCCTTGAACACACCGTAGAGGACGAGGCTGCTGCACTCACCAAGGCCAAAACCCTCTACAAGTCCTGCACCAATGAAAGTAGGGGATTATATGATTTGTCCTCAAAAGTTTTTTGACCAGAGAAGTGATTTCACAGTGATATACACATTACGAAATGGAGCAGTTTTAAAACAGTTTTATGTATGTATTTTTTATTTGCTCTGCATTTAAGGAAAATATTGTTTGTAATTGTTCTAGTATCAAAATATAATGTTTCTAAATAACTTGCACATGTTTAAGGCCTTATAGAGCACAGGGGAGGTTCCCCTCTGCTGGACATGCTGCATGATATGTTTGAATGGCCAATCGCTCTGGATGACTGGGACACACTTTATGGTAATATCTTTGATACAGTAACAGATTTTCCACATTGTATAGTTGTTTATTTGAACAATGTTGACATACTTCTACCTTCAGGTACAACTTGGAGACTGGAGGATGTAGTCGCCAAACTTAATGAAAAATATGAAACTCAACTTTTGGTGAACTTTTTTGTTGGCACCGATGACAGAGATTCCAATTCACACATCATTCATGTAGGTGTGCAACTGTGGCAAAATGTTCTCATATCACACACCTGTTGAGCCAGCTCATAACAGCCAGTTCTCAAAGTTGGATCATCAAGTTAAATGTGAATAAAACAACGCACTGAACGTAGTTTGGACAAATATACTATCTAAATAAAATAAAAAAATAAAATAAAAAAATCAATTTACATTTCACACCTGATCCAATATTATGCTGTGGTTGGCTCAAAAAGAGCACTTCTGAATTTGATCATTTTCATTTCTATCTATTTGCAGTTTGATCAGCAGTCCAGCCTCGGCCTCTTGTCTCGGGACTATTACTCCTGCAGCGGGCCGTACGCAGAGGTGAGCTCATGAACGGGCACATGGCAGACATACCCACATGTACCCTGACCTGATTCATCCCCTGGAGCTTATGCTTCAAAGTCGAATGCCCCAAAGAGTCATGGGGTGTCACTTAAACAGCACTACCTGTGTACTTTTCTTTGTGTTCACCAAAATGATGATGCCAACATCTGCCTCTCCATGTGCAGCATATAAACTTCTGCGAAACTAACAAGGGATGATTCAACTCCAGATCAAGTCCTGTGCTAATAAAGAGCAGATGTCTGTTATTGGAGCAGCAATCTTTCCTCAATTCATATACATTCCCTTTAACCAATTAATGTAAACACCAGTTTTGCAGCTGCCAGTCGTAATGTAATTGATTTACAAATGAATTGTGTATGTTTGATCAACAGGCGTGTCGGGCATATGAACAGTTCATGATTGACCTGGCGAAGCTCATACGCACAGACCGGAATCTGCCCATCAATGAGACCAGTATCAGGGAGCAGGTGACACGAGTCTTCGACTTGGAAAAAGACATTGCCAACGTAAGCAACAGATCAGTGGAAGATTTACATGTGATGAGAAAATGATCTCCCATCAGATTACTAACCAGGCCCTGGCCTGCTTGGCTTCTGAAGTCTGATGATCAGTGGTGATCATTCTTAACAATATATTCAGTAGGTCTAAAATCAGTTCAGCCAATTAGATTGGTCGGCCCATAACTACTGATTGGTACAACCAATATAAAAAATGTGGTTCCCAAAAGCACAAACATAGACATTAAGTTAACCAGGGGCCAGGGGTCAGCGGAATGGATTGACATGTCTGTCTGTTTTGGTTCACATTTGACGGAGCTGAATTTGGCTGAATGACAAATGTTCAATCTGTAACGTGGTATAACATGCATGTGTTGGTAGTGCTGAAGTTGGCTGAATGACTATGTATATGACTATGAGTTCATAATATTAGCATGGATGGGTCTAAAAACAACTTTAAGTCAAAGCCCTCTCAGTGGGTTCTCTTCCTGTTTGTTCACTTATTTGAGGTTGTGTAGGGCGCCTCTGAGAACACTGTAAATGTTGTTATGTGGCTATAATCTCTCTGCAGTCAGCGTCACAAACAGCTCTGGGAGATCTGGGAGCTTCCCAGGCTCCACGTTTGTCCTTCCCGAGTCTGTCTTGCTTACTACCATGCTTCGCTTCACCTCCACTCCAGCACTGGCTTTTATAGGGAATTTGCTACCTTCTCAGAATTGACATTTACAGACCTGAAGCCTCCTGGGACCATATATTTGTTGGTGCTGGACCTTGCCGTGCAGTTCAACAAAGGAAAGATTGTGTGATGCTGTGACAAAGTTTGGTATTTCTAACCCCCACATTTCTCCTTTTTCTCTCCAAGGCGACAGACACCCCAGAGGACCGCAACAACCCGGTGCTGCTTTACAACAAGATGGAGTTAGGAGACATGAACTCCAACTTCACTCTTGCGGTCGAATCAAAGGTACTCTTTCAAGTCAATATTTCTAAAAGAACACGATCGGTAAAATTGACTCTTTCATTTGAATGTTTTTTCCTCTCTAGCCATTTAACTGGACATATTTTACGTCAAAAATTATGAATACAGTCAACATAACTGTTCCTGATTCAGAGAAGATTATCAACTATTCACCAAACTACTACAGAAAACTCAACGTCCTCCTGGAAAAATATAGCAAACGGTGAGATAAGGCAGCACTTCTTTTAAGAATGAGAGGTTTGTGGGGGTTTGAGTGCCCAGCACGCTGTAAAAACAGCAGCTTGTCTATGCCATACGCTACAGCTTTTCTTTTATGTGACTGTTTTCTTTGAACATTCTTCACTTTACAGGGATCTACAGAACTACATGGTGTGGCGCTTTGCTATGAACATGGTGGTGGGCCTGAGCCGGGCTTACAGGGACACCAGAAAAGCCTTTAGAAAGGTACACGCTGTGCGCCTAAAGGTGTCACTGTGCCAGATACGTGTGTGTGTGTGTGTGTGTGTGTGTGTGTGTGTGTGTGTGTGTGTGTGTGTGTGTGTGTGTGTGTGTGTGTGTGTGTGTGTGTGTGTGTGTGTGTGTGTGTGTGTGTGTGTGTGTGTGTGTGTGTGTGTGTGTGTGTGTGTGGAGGCAACCTCAATATCCATTACACAGATTCTGTCAGAAAACTGAAGCTAAGCAGGGCAGGGCCTGGTTAGTACTGGGATGGTCGACCTTTAGGCACACCAGGTGTCAGAGTGGGGCGACTGGGGCTGTAAATTCTCAGAAATGTAAAGTGCCAAACATTTGTTGTGTCCTGAAGCAAGACACCTCACCCACAATACCTAGTATGAGTCTGGTGTATATGATTGGTGGTGGTCAGAGAGGCAGATAAAGCATGCCTGGCTTCTGTCAGTCTGCCCCTTTACAGCAGTAGTTTTCCACCACTGTGTATGGAGTGAATGAAATTATTTATTTATTGTTTATTTGGTTGGGACAGTACATGTTAATGAACACATCACTCCGGATTGTAGCCATGGGCTAATTTGCGTCCGTTGTCCCACATTCGCACTCACAAACACACACTCTTTCACCCTGAACTATTGGACATGTTTTTAGTGATGATGCCATGTGAAGCGTCTTTTTAGCACTATTTACAACCGCTGTACCATTACATGTCTGTTGCAATAGGGATCAGTATTCAGAATGGTGTTATAATAATTCTCATTCATCCACTCCAATATTATTGGAAACTTAACTAAGGATGTTGAAACTGAACAAAAAAAGTAAAGAACATAAGGGTTTATCGGTGGCATTCAATCTTCGTATCGGTGTTTTTCAACACAGTTACAACAAACATACAATAATACTGCATCTCATAGATGACTACAGGGCTCAGTGCTTTGAATGGCTGTCTTGTCTCCTGCTTTAGGCTCTGTCCGGCACCACCTCTGAGGCCGCCGTGTGGAGACAGTGTGCCCTGTATGTCAACAACAACCTGGAGAATGCTGTGGGCCGACTATACGTGCAAGAGGCCTTCTCCGAGAAGAGCAAGGAACTGGTCAGTAGGCATTCAATTAATATTGAGTTTATGGTCTAATACATATAGTATTAGACCAAAGTGAATAATCAAGCACAAAAAAGTCTCTTTAAGACCTTTTTTGATATTGGATAATATCCAAAGGCACACCGAACAACATCTCAAGGCACACTAACGTGCCATGGCACACTGGTTGAAAAACGCTGGGTTAAACATTACACCTGTTCTAAGGGACCTCCACTGGCTCACAGTTCAGGTCTGGATTGACTTTAAAATCCTCAAGCTTGTTTATAAAGCCCTCCACAGTCTGGCGCCATCATATATTTCCAAATTACTCATGCCTTATGAACCAGTGCACATTCTCAGATCCTTGGACCTAAAGCTTCCTGCTGTCCCCTGTGTGAAGCTGATGGTGGGAGCTTTCTCCCATTATGCTTCTTGTAAGTGGAATACTCTGACAAATTATATGTCATGATAACTTCAGACTTGCGTAACATTAGGCAATGTACGTAGGCAGTATTTTTCTTTTGCAATTTTTTGTATGTTTACTGTTTTGTTTGTTACAAAACAGTAAACATACAATCAAAATGATCTTTAGTTGCAGCCTTGCTTGAGTTAAATGTGCTGTCATACTTCTTTAACTAAGATGTGTTTTGCCATGAAATTTGGCCTCCAATATAAACAAAATGATCACCTCCTGGTCCTGTAACTGTCTGGCTTTAGTCCATGTATGTGTTTCTTCTATTTGCACCAGTCTGTTCCCCCTCTTCTGTTTTTATACTCGACATGATGCCCACTCAGCTCTTTGCTCAGGATGCACGAGGTTATAAACGTTCCATAGTCCACGTGCCTGTACTGTGTGTTGAATCATCTGCTACTCGGTGTAAATCATCACCTTGTTGTACTACACCATATGGATTTCTGATAGAGATAAACAGCCGCGTGCGTTTCTCTGAAAAACTGACACATTAACTGCAACTTGCATCCTGTCTAAGAGCAGATTTATCGCATTACTCAAGTATATTTCACCATGTCACGGATTTCGGGAATAGTAAATAACTGGTTTTTGTTGTGTTTCCTTGTGCAACCTACCTTTGGCCCTAGCATAATGAAAAACAAATAAAGCCAGAGAAAATGCCAGGGAAATGCCGACCGACGGCAGGATCATACACAAATATTCAGCTTTCCATATGTCATACCTTCTAGGGACCTTCAATGTCCATCCCTTGAATTGCAAATTAATCTTGGCCATAAATAAAGTATGTTCTGTATGTTGATTGTGTACACTTGTCCCTATCAAATAAATCAATAAATACAATGAAATTAGATTAATACTAATAAGGACTAAGATAAATAATTGTCTCTATATGTTATAACGTTTTTTTATTTTATTTACTTATTTGTCAACCCTCAGCAAAATGATTATTAACAGCTCTACAGTCTTCTACTTCAATGTACTTTATGTGGTGTGAGACGTGATTTTAACTTTCAAAATTTTTTTAATCACAGACACCAATAAAACAAAGAAGAAAATATAAATATTCACATATAAAATAAAAGTAGACAAAGAAATCTCAAGATCAGACATCTGTCTCAGATACAAGTGTAATTTATTATATTTTTGTTCTAAAACAGTTATGTCCAAACTAAGGCCCGAGGGCCAATTGCGGCTGTTGTGTCACTATATGGAGCCCTTTGTCTATACTGACAATTGCTTTGATAGTGTCATAAAATGTGTACATATCATACCACATTTTAAAGCCCAGAACAGCCCAAAGCCAGTCAAAAGAGTTTCACAGTCCATGTTGTCGCCCCCTGGACAAGGCTGGTTAACTAAAGTGACCTTCTTACTAAATCGTGAGAATATATTTTAAAGATGACACCATAATTGCAAACATGTCTCCAAGGAAAGATATCCATTTTTCATTGTTTGCTATTGCATTTATTGATAAGAATACCATATTTGTTAAAAAGATGGCAATAAAAATTTAATTTAATTGTGATTCCACATCTTATGCGATAGATATTTACTGGAGAAAGTGTTTGCAAATAAAACAAGTCTGTCCTAAAGGGCCTTTGCCTCGTATAAACTTTGCCAAGCAACATTGACTGAACTATCAAACCAAGCACACAGAGGACACAGTGCAAAAGTCCAGTGGTAGTAAATGTCTAATATTTGATAATGTTCAGGGGGAAAAAAAACGATGGTAGCTGTATCTCGGTCAAATAGAAAAACAATTATTTGAAAAAAATGTATACAATAACATTAATGACTTGAACTATTAGCATAAGTTACACCGTTAGAAAACATGATAGCATTAGTATCAGTTGTAGTATTATTATGAATGATAGTATTTTTACTGACCTCATTTGGTAAATGCTATAGTTTGTTTTTTCAAAGTCATTCCTTGCTTTGCCACAGTTGAATTTGAGAACCAGTATAGTTTGATCACATCTTAGTGAGATGAGAGTTCCTGATTGTTGAGCAGCCAGCAACCATAATAAGCACCGAAACACCATCCTCATCAACTGTGTTTTCTGCTACACACAATGGAAGACATTTTAAAAAGCTGGCTTCCAAATATATGCAACTTTCTTCTATGTTTTTTTCTCTATGATATCCAGTGATACAAGCACATTTTGAAACCACATGAGGCATCCACCAGAAAATCTTTAAAGCTGTCATGCCATGGTCATAAAGAAGAAAAGCACTTCTAGGACCCGGCAAGACGAGATATATGTGAGCAAACGTGAGCGGCATACTGTTCTCTCTGTGACCAATGGCAGTGGACCATCAGGTGAACCTCCCGGTGAACGTCCGTTAGTGCTCAGAGTCGCTCAGAGATTTGATAGCAGTGAATAGCGCTGATGTTAAGTCCGTGTGCCAAGATGGCTGAGCGATGGAACTTGGCACAGCCGCCGCAGTCTTAACATGCCAACTTCAGATTCAGATTTCAGACATGGTGTTGGCTACATTTACACATGCTAAGAATTTATTATGTAAATCTGAAGTATTAATACACATCAATGTTATTTTGACTCACAACTCACAATACAAACATTCCCCTCAATCATTGCTTAAGTTTATGAAGTTCTCATCAGCCAAAAAGTTGTGGTTGGCGGTGACATGGCGTCCAAGTGTGTTGCTCTGTGTTAGGGAGAGCTTTGCTGATGTGAAGAGACAGAGGAATGCATCTGCTCGCTCCCCCATCATTATGGCAATCTATCAGCAAATGCAACCTTTCGTCTTTCCCTTGCGTGTTCGGTTAAGGATTCTATTGTGCCTTTTTTGTCATGTATTGTGCAAGACGTGTTTGGTTCTCTCAACACAATCATTTGGTGAAGGCGTCTGTCTGTCTCTCAAAAAATGTATATTGTCAAGACCTGAAGATGTTTTACACAATAAAGGAGACAGATTTAGTTTGACTACTTACAAAGAACGCTTGGACGTTTTGTTACACAATCCTTTTATGAAACAGCTTTTCCCAACAGACATTGTAACTCTCATAAGCCCTCTTTACAAAACGCTAAACGCCCACACTACAGAGACTTAGTCCACAGCTAAACATGGAGCCATCTTCCATCTACTAACTTGCTACCAACTGATTACATTTTTTCTGTGTTTGTCTATGTGGGTCCCAGATGCAGGAAATGATTAAGGATATTCGTGAAGTGTTCATTAGCAATCTGGATGACCTAACCTGGATGGATGCTCAGACCAAGAGGGCAGCTGAGGAAAAGGTGCATTTTATTCTCAATGTTGTGCTCTGTAATTACAAGTACACTGAAACCTATTTCCAATTGTTCTCCTTTCAGGCAAGAGCTATCCGGGAAAGAATTGGTTATTCTGACAACATTATGGATGATCGGTTCCTCGACAATGAGTATAAAGACGTGAGTATGAAAGTGCAGTTTACTTTCAGTTTATTTTACTTAGTATTTTATATGTTCAACACACACTGAGTGCATCTAAAAAAACATATAGGGATTGTAAATGTTTTGTTTTTTTATCTTTTATGTGTGTATTTATTTACATATTTATTTTTATGACATGTTTTTATTTATTTCAGGCAAACACATAAGCAACACGTACCTGTAACAAAACCAAAATACATTTAGCCTGAAAGGAAAGAAGATAATTTAACTTGTAGAAATGGCCCTTCACAAAATTATGTTCAAACCATATTTTGTTAAAGTAGTTTTTAGGGATATCAAAAGAGACACCCAGATACTTAAAGCACCAAACACTAATCAGTGAAATATGACCATTCCTAAATAGTTTCAGAGCATTAGAACGGCCTCAAAGTGCATCAAAAGTGGTAATGTATAACAGCTTCAAAATGAGCAGAACTTTTTTGTTGAATAACACATTCAACATTAAAATAATTAATAAATAAAAACGTTGTGTTTCTTCCAAAAAGAGCCTTGTAAACGTTTAAAACTCACTTACTCACTCAGCCAATCAGCTCTCAGCTGATTGGCTAAGTGAGGGTGATCCTCTTTTTAGAGGCAAAAGATGTGGCAGAGGCCAAATAAAGTGCTACATGTGAAAGCTAGGGATAAAACCACACTCTTGAGCTAAGGGCTAAGCAAATTTGTCATAATTTCAAAAAGCAACACTTGTAACTAAGAATATACGTCAGACTGGTTCATTGCATTTTAGTTAGTTAAATGTTAGTTTATGCGGGATACTTAAGTACGCAGGACGGGGTAGAAATTCACATTACAGAATCCTGTTGTCAGGGATGAAGCAGACAGAGACGGATCGTGGTGCGCCAAACTCTGGAAGTTTATTTAAGTTTCTCTCAAGTTCCAGTGGTTTCCATTGTTTCCTTCTCTCAGACAGAATGGAGGCAGTACACAGTTTATATAGTCATTGTCACGTCACACATCAAAAGACATACGTGTCACAAAGAGACAGTCACATCATAGTCAAAATAATCAGAGTCCTTGTAGAGTCCTGCACGTAGGCCATATTGCTATCTAATACTAACACCTGTTTACATAATTACATTGATAAATTGATAATTGATAATACATTGCTAAAGCTATATCCCAGTTTGATACAATACTTGTGAAGAATGACTTGTAATTAATGAGGGATGTTACCTAGAAACCATATAATAAAAAGTGCCAAAAGGTAACCAATTTTATTATCATCATTACAGGTGACAAACTGCATTATGAGAATATTCTTTATTCATTCAATTGCGTGAATCATAAAAGTCCCATATAAGGTGTTTGTCGTAGATTTGGCTTTATTGGTGTGAAACTATAATGTGTATTGTGGGTGTCATTCCACCGAAATAGGTCATAATGACAACAAAATTCAGATAGGCCGATTTACGAACGCTCCGTGTTCGTCTAAGTCTAAATACGAATTGCCACTTTTACTTTCCGCTGGGAATACTCTTTCGTCTATTCTTCCAACTCCATACCTCCTTCACATTACCTGTACTCAATAGAACATCTTAATGGATTTAGGGATTGTGATATTTTTGCTGCAGAATAAATGACTGGGTGTTGAGAGCTTTCATCGCGGCTAATCTCCCCTGTTCTCTGTCCGCGTGCCATAGCTCCACTACAGTGCAGAGGAGTACTTTGAAAACATCTTGAACAACTTGGAATTTGCACAGAAGAAACGGCTGCGGAAACTCAGAGTCAAAGTCAACAAAGAAGAGTAAGGCACTGCTTGTGTTAAAAAAGATACAGAGAAAATGATATGTCGTGAGTTTGCTTGCATTTTGTAGTACTTTCCCCCACGCAAACGCCCACGCTCACGCAGAATACAGCAGTAATGCTAATATTAGATGTGGCTATTATTACCACAGGTTAATTTTGTGATTTACGCTCTATCTTGTCTCTTGTAGGTGGGTAACTGGAGCTGCCGTTGTTAATGCATTTTATTCCTCAAGTAAAAACCAAATAGGTATGAAATATATGCAAATATCGCCCAAGCGCGTGATTGTAAACTGGCATTAACAGTTCTTGTGTGGCTTTAGTGTTCCCCGCAGGAATCCTCCAGCCTCCGTTTTTCAGTAAAGGGCAGACCAAGTCACTCAACTTTGGGGGGATTGGAATGGTGATCGGCCATGAGATAACGCATGGATTTGATGACAATGGTGCGTCTTTCCATTCATATAAAGCAGCTTGACAAATGTATTTGGAAGGAAAACCTTATGTAAATGTAGATTATCCACTGTGTCAGCTTTTCTCTCTTACTTTAGTGCTATTATCGCAATTACTAATTCAAGAAGGCTCCTAATGCCTCCATAACAGGGCCTAGTGTTTATTTGTATAAGATGCTGTTGGTTAAAAGGACAGTATGTAATCTTCAATTTAAAACTACATCTTCATATTTCATATGTGTCCCCAGATAACAGGTCACATGTACAAATCATAATCAACCTTTTCTGATCAAATGCTTAAATAAAAATACAGTTGACATGAAGTTTACTGTTTTCAAACATATTATGCAATCAGAGAGCAGAATAAAAACAAAATAAGTTTGTACTGCTTCTAGCTAAACTTCAGGAGGTGCAATCAGTGCTTGGCGACATGTGGGTAGGGCTAGGGTTAGAAAAGGGCAAGAAATGTGTGGTTGTAATTGTATTAGACCTCTAACAGTGCTTATGGTACTCTGATAAGATAAGAAAACCTTTATTTTCCCCACAGTGGGGAAATGTCAACATTGCAGTGCACATACAGGACCGTCATGAGAGCAATCAAGCAACACACAAAATATATATGCAAAACCTTCACAGATTGATGGTGGATCAGTCTGTCATTGAAGCTGCTCTCCGGGGCAGACGGAGTGATATTGAGTGCTATACCAGCTGCACTGCGTCCAGAGGACAGTTCAGGACAGAGCAGTGCTTCATGATGACCTTGACCAGCTTCTTTGTGTCCCTCTCAGTGATCCTGCTGTTCCAACAGTCTGTACAAGATGACTGATGCCACCACAGAGTGGTGTCCCGTTAAAGAGAGCTTAAATACAGAACACAAATTGAAAAATAAGTAAATATGTATGAGTGTAGTAGTTTTGTGTCTGACAATACTTCATACAGTCATAATGCTAATGTGGTTCAGGCAGGAACTATGATAAAGACGGAGACCTGAAGGACTGGTGGACCCCAGACTCTACTCAGCGCTTCCTGGAGTTGTCCAAGTGCATTGTGGATCAGTACGGAAACTTCTCCTGGGACTTGGCCAACGGGCTCCATGTATGTCTCTGGTATTAATTATGATTATAATCTATAATCCTGCTCTCTGGATTTATAGCTGCATATGTAGATTTGAGTGGGAGACAACCATTGTAATCTGTAATTAACTGTAAATAGATAGATTAATAGCATTGATTGTCACACCGGAGCATTCCTAAAGAAGGAATAACAATTTCATGAGACAAACATATAATAGACTAAGCTAGGGTAACTTTATGTTATCCTTAAGGACACACAACACTGCAATGTTGTGTGTCCTTGCAAAAGTATGATGAACAAACAAACAATTACATGCAGTCTTTATCTCATTAGAAAACATTGCATAAGTTACCGTTGCAAAAGAAAAAGCCCAGTGAGTCACTATTTGACACTTTGGGCTGAGAGTTGATTGGCTGAGTGAGATTGATTCTTTCTTTTGCGCTTTTCTGTCTTAGAAAGTTTATGTAAAGATGTGACAGAGTGCAAATATAAACCAGCGAGGGACTAGTTAGAGGGATTTTATCATAAATAGAGCCATTTTTGTACATTGAGAATGAGGTACTCCAACTTTAAGTAATTATAAACTATTCAAACTTATTTCCTTTGAATCTGAAACCACCCTTGCAGATAGTGCAGTACTCCTGTCTGGTAGGAAAAAACAACCATACATTAACATGCGGACAAACTGATTGGTTTAGCTCTCTGCACTCTTGGGAAACAGTCAGCAAAGCGTTATAGATGTTTTTATGCAACCTCTAAATGGTATTATAATTATAGTATTACCATAGCAAGACCATCGCCAAGGAACAACACTATAGAGATGCACTCAAACAATATTTACATATATAAGTAATGCAAAGGGAAAGTAATAACAGCAGTCAGTGTTTCCGGAGCCAGGAGCTCTGACAAAGCTGCAGGATGTTTTGCCTCTGGAGTAAAAATGCATCACAACTGTCTATTTAACCAAGGGCCTATTTATAATTGTCTCCCGTCAGAACAGTGGTGCTGGCTCATCTCTTCTCTGTCTTTAATATATGATGTTGTCATACCCATCCTTCTCTCACTCTGCCTTCTCCTCCTGCTTCTTTGAACAAAGCCACACTGTTTATTTTTCCCCACTGTGAAAAAATGATTTCTTGTATCCAAAGGAGTGATATCTGTGACTGGTGAAAATAAAAATGAAACAATTACAACTTCTCCAGTGCATCCCCTCTCACCAGTCTGTCCTCTCTCTGTTCCCTTTCCCAGTTAAACGGTAATAACACCCTCGGGGAGAACATTGCTGACAATGGTGGTATACGACAGGCGTATCAGGTAATGAGCCCGCGGGCAGTCGTTTTCAAGTGTTTTATCATTGGCGTGGATAGAATGTTTTCCTCTATAGAAACAATATTAAAGTTTATATAGTTTGTATTGTTTCTTATAAGATGCTTGTGACAGAAATGTGATCATTACATTAAAAACACAAACACATGTCATAGAGAAGTGGAATTTCAGATAGATGCCAGAGTCAGTGAACTACATACAGTCGATGGGAATTACAACTTTCCTACTTTCTTGTTGCAGGCCTACAGAAACTATGTTGCACTACATGGAGAAGAACCTCCTCTCCCCGGTATAAAGCTGTCCCACGATCAGTTGTTCTTTCTCAACTTTGCCCAGGTACCAACCACAATACAGCATACTATAAGT